CCTTAATGAACACATTCATAATGTACTATCAAACAGATATTATGTATACATTCTTCTCAGTGGACCATGAGACCTTCTCTAAAATGGACCACATTCTGTGATGTATAGGGCCAGAAGTCTTAAGAAATGCAAAATATCCAAATAATTTCTTGCATTTCATTATACCTCGTGAGCATAAAGCTAGACAAGGAAAGCAAGAGAACTACAGAACGCATGAATACATGGAAAAAGAACAATAGACACTTAAAGAACAAGTGGGTTATTGAAGAAATTGGAGAGAAAATTCCTAGAATCAAATGAAATAAAAGCACAACTTATTAGAACCCTTTTTATAGAGCTAAGGCAGTTCAATTAGTAAATTTATAGCAAATATATATATATTTTTTATATATATATATAAATTATATATTTATAAATATATAATATTTATATATATATAAATATAAATATATATATAATATATATTTTATATATATATAAAACTAGAAAATGGACCATGCTAGAAAGAGATCTCAGATGAAGGGCAAACAACTGAGGACAATGGCTGAGGACAATGGCATGCATGAGACATCTAAGTAGGAACTATTTAGATTGATGTAGGGAGTAGCTGGACGAGGGCAGAAAAGGGAGGGGGAGACAAATGAAAATCAGTTATGTCACATTTGTATAAAAATGCCCAGTGAAAGCCATTATTACCTTGCCAACTGAAAAAAATTAAAATGGTAGAATTGTAAACAAAAATGAACCCATCATAAAAGCCAGAAACTTAAACACCTCAATCAGAAACACACAGAATCAACACTATAAAATTAGAAAGTATAATTCAACATTTATTTACAAAATCTCAAACTCACATGTAATATTTACTAAGACATTGAAGGCTATAATCAACATCTTAAGATTTATAAATAGAAATCTTGCAATATCTGCTTTCAGACTGCAATGGCAGGAGAATGTAAGAAATCAGTAATAGAATGATGGATTAGAAATAAAAACGAAGGTACTTCCAAATGACATATGTGTCACAGAATACAATTTAAGGTATAATTTAAAATATCTTTAGCTGAAATGAAATTGAAAATAGAATGATTCAAATCATGTGCTATAGTAAAAGGACCACTTCAAATGAAATTGATAGCTTTAAATGAACATATTATAAAATGTTGAGCTTCTGAGAACATTGCTTTAAGTTTCTGCCATAGGAAGATAGAAAAATATCAGATTAAAATTAAAGTAATCAGAAAAAAGGAGTAAGCAAGCATACAGAAGAAACCATTAAATCACACCTAGGAAAAAAAAATCTGTCAAACCTTTCTAAGACAGGGTAAGACAGTTCTGAAAACTTTCCTGCCTTGGAAAATAGTGTGTCGGTAACTCTAGGCCTTAGCCAAAATTGGTAGATTCAACATTGCAAATGAGACTTTGGATGCCAGTTGTCTCTGTCATCTACTGCACACTTTAGAAGCAGCTTGATTGCATTTCCTGCCTTCTCAAGTAATATTATCTCCCTTCTCAGGGTTTCGATAGGATTGAAGATTAGATAGTTTTAGTTACGTTCCTCTTACAATTTAGCCAAGCCCAGGTGCCTTAGGATAGAATGATCATTGAAACATTTAACATTTGTTCCTTGCTTAATACTGTTTATGTTTGTTGTGATCTTTTTATACTTGATATTTGTGCTTATTATATATAGTTTTATATTAGGCTTAGAACTCTTTTATTTAAACAAAAGAGAAAGGTGCTGTAGGAATTCCTTCAGTCAGTAGCCTTTAAGATACCAGCCCACTTGGGTGTGGCCTCTTATACTATCAATGCCAAAGTAAAGCACTGTACTCTCTCTCTCCCAGCTTCTGGATTTGGTTCTTGTTTCCTGTTTGTGCAGAGTACTGTGATCTGTGAGTCTATCGATAGATAAATAATCCTTTATTATACTCAATTTTGTGCTAGTGTTGGATTATTTTATAAATTCCATCTTCATGAATGGGCCTTTAATTAATGTGCCTTCTCTTGGACTCTTTTCCTTCTGTTTCCTTTCTCCAGGTCTGATGTGATAGCTTTTGTTTTATCTTATTATATTTTATTTTGTTGTATTTTACTGTTATCTCTTAGAAGCTTGTTCTTTTCTAATGAGAGACAGAAAGGGGAGACATTGAGGAAAACAAACCATAATCAGGATATATTATGTGCAAAAAAGAATATATAGTTCAATAAAGGGAACTAGAGCAAATAAGAGAATATGTATTTTAATAGTTAAGAAAGGTTAATCTCTATTCACTATAATCTCAAGAAGACAGAATCAGGAAGATTACTTGTTAAGTTGTCCAAAGGAGTCATCATTATATCAAAAGACATTACAAGAAAAGGCTACTATAGACCAATCTCTCTCAAGAATTATAGATTTAAAAAATTCTCACTAAATACTAACAACTTGAGTCAAGTAATCCATAAAAAGAATTCTACACCCCAATCAAATGGCATTTAGTCCAGTTCAACAACTTAATATGACTTAATGCTATATATCTTACTGAAAGGCTACAGAAGGAAAAGAGGTACAAGATGGTCATTCCAAAAATGCAGAAAATGTATTTGACAGATTTAAAATGGTCATTTTTGATTAATACTTTTAGAAAACTGAAGAGATAGTAAATTCCTGAAGAGAGAGATTGTACAGTTAGCTAAGCACTGATCATGCAGATAGGAAGACTGGATTTTTCTCTCTAGCACCCAGGGAAAAGCCAGGCTTACCTAACTGTAAACTATAAATTACAATACCAACCCTTCAGGTAAGATGTGTCCACTTGTGCCATACATAGTGTACCACCGTAAGGGAGATAGACAATCACTTTCTGATTGGATTTGACACTTGTTTCTTCACAGGAGGCATTCAGTGTCTGGTACTATAAACCCAGTCAGCAATGCATGGCAGGGAAAGTCATAGGCTCTCTGCAGAGGTGCTAGGAAATCTTATTACTGTTGTTTGGCTAACTCCACAAAGGGTCAAATTGCCTTCTAAATGTGTTTGGTTATACCCATTGATAAATGCTCCTTCAAAACTTAACCAGGAATCTCTCATTGTAATCAATTTGGAGGCTCGTAGCTGTTCAAGGTCTTGAGAGTAAGTGATGGCTGAATGTTCAACCCTAAACAAGACATTCATGCCACCTTCTCTAGGGCTCAGGAAAATCCAGAGTAAAGGAAGTAGAAAGAATGTAAGAGCTTGAAGTGTTCTTGATAGTCTTTGTTGTCAATGTAATACAAACTAGAGGCATCTGGAAAGAGGGAGCTTCAGGTGAAGGATTTTGGCTTGCAGCTTTGTCTTGATTGATGATTCTAGTGGGATGGCCAGTCTTCTGTGGGTGGAGCCACCTTAAGCAGATAAGACTGGGACGGTATTAAAAAGGTAGCCAAATTTGATGCAGTATGCAGCAGCATTCCTCCTTCATTTCTGCTTCAGACTCCTACCTTGACTTCCTGCTCTGACTTCTCTCAATGATTAAATGTGGCCTGGAAGTATAAGATGAAATAAACCCATTTCTTCTTTAGGTGCCTTTTGGATATTATATTAATCACAGCATAAAACAAACTAGAAATTGAAGATAGGGAGAAAGGCTGTGAAATGACATCAGGCATGGCCATTCATGGAAACCGTGAACTCACAGTTCCTGTGGTTATCAGCAACTGGACTTGCTAAAAATGATTCCTGTCAACAGTCATGACTGGGAGAGGGACCCAGGAGGCCTTGCCTCTCCCTGCTGAATTATTGTCTACTGATAGGTTTGGGAAAGGGAGTCACTATACTTAGTTTTGTACCTACTGGTAAGCACCCCATGCTCCAGTGAATAGCATCAAACTCATGGTCACACAAATGACCCTGGTTAAAATCAACTCGCTACAAAATAAGCTCAAAGATTTGCATATTGGAAGGAGATATGCAGGAAAGATGGTGCTTGGCAGAGGTGGGAAAGAGAAGATGGGAGGTGTGAATAGCAAGAACATAATGTATACATATATAAAATAGTCAAAAACCCCACTTAAACAAAAAAACAAAAAGTCATGCAAAACTCAAGCATGCTGGTACGTGCACTAATCCTAGCACTGAAGAGGCCCAGAGAGGTGACTCCTTTGGGCTCACTGTCCAGTCATCTTAGTAGAATGAGCAAGCATAAAACCAAGGTGTTTGGCCCCTGATAAACAACAGTTGCATTTGGTCTTTATCCTCCACATGCATGTGTACATACATGTTTCTGTACATAACCGCTCCTGCACACACATACATACACACACATGCACACACAAACATACACACAAATACCAAGAATAGGATAAACATGTTTCCTCTCAGTACTGCTTTTTGACATTGGTGTAGGATGTCCTTCTGTCTTTGTGTTGCTTTCATTGGTTAATAAAGAAACTTCTTTGGGCCCCTGATAGGGCAGAACTTAGGTAGATGGAGAATACAGAACTGAATGCTGGGAGGAAGAAAAGCTGAGTAGGGAAGAGACACCATGGGTCCTCCTCCTGAGACTGGTGCTGGTTAGAATCGTTCCCCATAAGCCACTGCCACGTGGCGATATACAGATTAATAGTAATAGGTTAAATCAAGATGTAAGAGTTAACCAATTAGAGGCTAGAGATAATGGGCCAAGCAGTGACTTAATTGATACAGTGCCTTTGTGATTATTTTGGTTCTGGGAGGCTGGGACAAACAAGCAGCCCTCTCCCTTCCAACATAACATCATAATAGAAACCCTAGATATAATAAGACAAGTGCAGACTTTCAAATGTACACAGATTAGGATGAAAAAATAGAACCTTGTCCACATAATGAGGTTCCATATAAAGTTAAAAAAGACAAAATCTTCCTAGAACTCAGTGATTTTTGCAAAACTGAAAGAGAAAAGGTCAATATTCAACAATGAATTGATTTCTTATACAGAGAAGAGGAATTTGAAATTAAAAACACGAGTCCAACTAGGCCAGAGACTGGTACCCCGGCAGAGATGGGGGCGGCGGCCGCAGAGGCCGACTGCACTCTCTTCGTGGGTAACCTGGAGATGAAGGTGACCGAGGAGCTCCTCTTCGAGCTCTTCCACCAGGCTGGGCCAGTAATAAAGGTGAAAATTCCAAAAGATAAAGATGGCAAGTTGAAGCAATTTGCATTTGTGAGTTTCAAACACGAAGTGTCTGTTCCTTATGCCATGAATCTTCTCAATGGAATCAAACTTTTTGGGAAGCCCATCAAAATTCAGTTTAGATCAGGAAGTAGTCACGCCTCTCAGGATGCCAGTGTGTCATATCCCCAGCATCATGTCGGAAATCTAAGTCCTACCTCCACATCTCCTAACAGCTATGAAAGGACAGTGGGTAACATGACTCCATCAGCACAGATGGTCCAGAGGTCCTTCTCTTCTCCAGAAGATTATCAGCGGCCAGCAGTGATGAACAATGTTTTCAGACAGATGTCATATGCTGGGAAATTTGGTTCTCCACATGCAGATCAGTCGGGATTTTCGCCATCAGGTCAATCACATGGTCATCCCTTTAACCAGTCTTCCAGCTCCCAGTGGCGCCAAGATGCATTGTCACTACAGCGTAAAAGACAGAATTCTCACCCCTACCTGTCAGATAGACACGATAGTCGTGAGCAGCGCTACTCTGATCATGGGCCCGACTATCATTACAGAGGAGGCCGAGAGGATTTCTACTATGACGACAGGAACCATGATGGCTGGAGCCACGACTATGATAGCAGAAGGGACAGTAGTAGAAGTGGGAAATGGTCCTCATCTCGACACTAGCAAGCATTCCAGGGATATTGTTTACAGGGCCATTTTAGGCCCTCTTCATTAAGTTGTTCTGGAAATATTTCTAAAACTGCACAGAGTAGCCCCACAGTTTTCCACCTGTCTTTGAAAAAGAGAAGTTTTTCAGCCTAGCATCAGTTTCCTAGAGAAGGCAGAACTGCTTCACAAATGCTCCACGTTTGTACCTCAGGGCTTCTGAAGAGGGAGGATTCTATACAAAAGAACGACCCACCATTCCAGTCACTTCAGTCTAGGGAAGATGAACTGTATACATTGGTTGTATTATAAAGCAAATATTTTTAATTATCTCACCCTTTTGTGTTTCAAGGATTTTCTTGGTAATGAAATAATTTTGGTGTATATAGTAGGAAACATCCAAGTTGGTAGTCTGAAATGGCTATCTCCATTTTGTTAATAAATGAGAAAATGGAACTCAGTAATCCGTTTTATTAACAGCTTATTTAAAACAGTTTATTGGTTTTGCTTGGGGATAAATCATATTTTTCTAATTCAGAATTTAAGTACAAATTCTGTGGTATGCTCTTGAATTTTATCACAATTAAACATACATTATAAATCTATACTAGTTCATTCTAAGAACTTTAAAATCTTTTCATTAAATTATATTTGATGTATGACTAGTCACTCAGGAAGTTAAATATCTACTTGTATATTTTTACATAAGAAGACTGTTGATAAACTCTTTTTAGAGGAACAGCAATGTTGATACATAGATAAAATGGCAAAATGTTTCGCTGCAAGGATTATAGTTTTGAAATTTTGTTTAACAATACTTCCATGTTTCAAGATGCTGATGCTTGTTCATTGTAAATTCGTTTTTAAGAATTCTGTGAAAAATATGGATCCTCTTTATACCACAGCATTTATACTATGTTCCTTTTTAACATATTAAATACATAAAAAGAGAAAAAAAAGAAATTAAAAACACATTACTATTTAATGCAAAATCCCACAAGTAAAATGCTGGTTCCTAGAAACAGTGCTAAGGTCTTACAGGATTAGATAATGTAGTGTATAATAATTCATATGTAAAAAGACACGGTTCCTAAATTGTCAGTTTGATCTGCAATCTCTAAACACAATTAAAATCAAGCCTGGAGTTTAAGTAGCGTATGTAGACGCTCACCAATATTACACTGCAGTCACAGTATAATGATGAACATGCACTAAGGTGTGAGCATTTTTACTGACACAGGATTAAATAAGCATAAGTGAACAGTAGCTAAAATCCATTGCTTGAGAGCTAAGCTGTAAGTAGGAATCTAGGCAATCCAGAAATTTCTTTCAAAAATATTTAAATATCAGTGAGTAGTTGTGACTTGTGCTCAACCGTGTAACCAAACAGAGTGGTGGTAAGGGCAAAGACATTCACTAGGTTCTTCAAACACTATAGTTAATGATTTTTGCCAAGTTACATTTGAGGTTCAGGTACGGAATGCATTATATATTTATATAACTCTATATGACATATTCTACATTATCATAAATTAAGCTTCAGATAGGTCCTTCTATGTAAATGTGACAGAGTGACAGCATTTTTCTCACGGACGCTGGCAGGCGCCGAGCTGAGCTGCCTTCACTGCACTTCCCATCATGATTCTTGTCTCGATGTCTCGGATCACAAAAGCTGACAGATAAAATGTGGTTCCTACTTTCAAAACACACGTTTATTCTGAAAGGCTTCTGGAGGACAGCTTGTCAATTTTCTCGGGAACCAAGGTGCTTATAAAGATTGAGAGCCGGGGTACTTGTGTGGAATTTCTTCCTCAGCTACTGGGAAACGAAGAGGCCTTCCCCTTATCTGAGTTATGAATTACCCTTCACCGAGGGCTGTTTAACCCGATTGCCGCTTTGGAATTCGAGCATCTTAAAGCCAAAAGAGAAAACCCATTTCAAACCCACAAGAATCCATTCTTTCCAAGTGTTGTTTTAAGGGAATTTTTCCTTTCTGTGTTGCTGAATATTCCTGGTATTGTCCTCAGCAAAATCCGCTGCTCTATTCCAGGCAGGAAGACTAGAAGCTGCTTAACACTGCTTGCTTGCTACAGTTAATGAAGGGCATTTGGACAGCATTTCATGGTAAAGACTTTCAGGCTACTTGAAACTATTAATCAACGGTACAGAAATGTTCCCTGAGTGATGTGTCTGATTGCTTTAAACACAGGACTGAAAAAACAGAGAGTGCTCTACATAGGGAAATTGCCTTGGCAACGTGGCATGTATTCCTTAGAAGGAATCTTTAGAAAGACTCTAAAGTGTAAGCACGGCTGCCCCAAGTCTTTACGAAATGCCCACAGCAGCCAGTTTTTTTTCTCCCAATATCAAATAGGGCACTGTGGCTGGTTTCTAGTTCATATTCAATTCATTTTAAATACAGACTCCTACAAACTTGCCAGCATCCAAATATGCAAAGTGCCTTCTGAGAACAACCTTCATTTTAAACCAAAGATCCAGTTACCAGAATAGAAAAAAGCCAGCCTGAGAAATGAAGCATGGTGGTAGGATTTATCTGAACACATTTATATGGGGGTGTGGATCGAGAACAGTATTTTAAAATTAATGTTTGTTTTTATGAAATCTGAATGTCAGAAAGATAACACCTAAAGATTTATTTTCAACTCACCCATTACAGATTTATTTTAAGTCACAAAATCACATGTTGTGACATAGCTCAGGTTATTCTCTCATGCGCTGTCATACTATGGAGTGAGGACGACCTTGTCTCCATTTTAAATAGAATGAAACTGAAGCATAATTTAAAACAAGTTCCCTTGATAAAGCTATGGGTTCATCTTTGTTTGCACATACTTTTTTAACATGTTGAACTTGAATGAATTCTCTCAGGCTTTACAGAGGAAAAAGTGTCTTCCCACCCAGCTAATATTGAAGCAAAGATCTAAGTCTCCCTCCTTATGGAAATTGGCTTTAAAATTGCAACCCCCAAACCACAGCTCTCCGTTTTGCTCCGCCTTATTCTCCAGCAGGAAGGTTTTGGCAAGAATTTGTTTCTGCTCCTGCCAAAGAATGCCCTTGAAGTAGCAGCATGCTTGGCCGAAAGGCCACCAAGTGACTATTTGAGAAAAGAGCAGCGTGTAACAAGGCTTGAGTGTGCCGACAATAATTCATTGGAACGTCTTTATTGAAAGGCTTTTGGGGTCGGTGGGTCTATGAGTTCTTTCTTTCACTGCTTCCCAAGATGAACCAAGAAACAGTAAGCTGTGCAGTGACATCATTTACTCATTCATTCATTCATTCTACTAAATCTTGATCTTCTTCCGTATTCTGAAAACACGGAACACAACTCTGCTAAAAGTGGTGAGTGGTGATCCTAAGAATAATCACGGGCAATAAACATCAGACCAACAAATCATCTTAGGGGCTGGGACATAGTGTGAGATCCAAGAAGTACAGAAAGGAGAAACTCGGGATTATGGTATAAGAATGTCAATCTGAGAGTCCTTAGAAGATGGGTACTTCCAATGGGAATGAAGGAAGAGTCTAGGGAAAGGCTTCCATGGTTATGTTTAGTCTGAAAAGATAAGGGGCAATGAAGCAGTGAATCAACAGGAGAGGAAATACGGTCAAGCAGTCTAGATAAATCATTCAACATACATAAACACATAAAGAAAAGAACATGACAATTAAGCAACTAGAGTGCACCTAGACAAGAGCTTGTCTTGATTATCAAAGGTGGCAGGTGTTTAATTTTGTAGTTTCTAAGTTGTGCAGCATTGAGTGTCTTATATTTACACAGTTGAATTCAGAATAGGAAACTAATTCATACCATGTATTTCTGAGTTTTTCTTTCTCCAGGACAGCTAGTGACTAAGCAATGTATTGAAAACACAAATCAAATAAACGTCTCTCCCAAGTCTTTCTTGGCGTGTAAATCATGCAAGGTACAAAATTTGCCTGCCCTAGTTCTGTGTGTTAAATTTTAGACTCTTGAATGTTGTTTTTGAGAATGAATGTTCCTCTTTCAAGAAAAGAAGGAACCACCAGATTCATTCATCAGAAAGAGCCCCTGGTCTAGCTTCTTTTCTGGAGACTACCAAGTGCCCTTTTGGGCAATTCATAATGATCTGCCTCACTTGTGGAATAAAGGAATGGGTAATGGACTGACCTTTGAAGATCACCATTTCATTAAAAAATAATTTTCTTCCTCTCTTCTCACTCTCTAGAAATTTGATTGACTTTTCTCAAGATTTCAGACAATTCTGGGCAAGCAAATTCTATAAGAATTACTATATTTAATGGCTTTATTGAAAAGGTAAATATGAGGGAATTAATGTTATATATTAACATTATATGTTAATTATATAACATATAATGTTAATATATATATTAACAAACAGTATGCCATATTAACATAATTATATATGCATTAAATATTTGCATGGAAATCTTGGATATACTATTAAGAGAAGAACAAATGATGTCAGATAAAAAATAAAAATAAAAAGTCATCCATTTAAATAATTTAGTTTCCTCTAAAGATCAGGGTACCTGTTCATTATTTCCAACTAAAGATGCAGCCTAGAATAGTCAGATTTTCTACTTGGACCTAGTTTCTATATTCTAAGTTGAGTTATGTTCAACCTAGGTTTTTTTTTATTTCTCCAAAATATTTACGCATATTAGTAACACTATTGCAAACTGGGTTTTGCAAAGTGAGTTGGATGGTGCAGGAATGACAATCTTACTCATCCCTCCCTTTCTGGCCCTACTTTATTTTGTGGTAACTGAAAACCATACAGAAAAAAATACGTTGTATCCTGTTGACTCATAAAAGGAAAAACCACTGGATATTGGGACAGTACAAATTACTACCACTCTTTCAACAATTACAATAGAAACTGAAGGTGTGGTTTCTTGAAGGAAACTTTTTCTAAACTTTTATGAAGGAAAAGAAGTAGAGCCAGAAAAGTCCTTTATGTCAATAGACTATTAAAATTATCCTACATCACAACTTGGACATATTGTAGCATATACTAGTGAACATCAAGTTGAAATAAAATTAGGAAGCTTGTAATATAAAGCTATCAAACTATACCAAAAAGAGGATAATGTTTTCACA